CCTCAGCCTTCCAAGTAACTGGAACTACAGGTGCACGCTACCAAGCCTGGCTAATTTTTGGATAATTGTAGAGATGAGGTCTCATCAAGTTGCCCCAGCTGGTCTCGAACCCCTGGGCTCTGAGAGTGCTGGGATTACAGGCGTGAACCACTGCTCCCGGCTGCTACTTTTTTCTTAGACCTTACCACAATTTCTTCTTCCCAGTCTTAAACCATCCAACCAAAGCTTTAACTACTTCCTTTGAATGTAGATTCTACTTTGGCCTTCTCTCCTTCCAGGAGACAATAATATATACTTCGTGGGGTTCTACCCCCCTTCATTATTGTCTCCTGGTTGGGGTTGTCTCCTAATCACTGCAACCTACTTCTGGCTTGTGCTAGCACATCAATCAGAAACATCTGGAAACTAGGCCCACGTATTTTTTTTCTCTCCCTCAGTTAACTGGTGTAAGGAACTCCACATGAGGCTATAGGTATGGATTGAGTAGGGAGAGAAGCAGGTACAATATTGGGAATAAAGGAGCCTGAGCCACTGACTCACTTATATATCTTCCAGACCTGCTTCCGCCTGGTTTTGTTTTGTTTTGTTTTGTTTTGTTTTGTTTTTGAGTTGGGGTCTCATTCTGTCACCCGGGCTGGAGTGCAGCATCGTGATCACAGCTCACCACAGCCTCGACTTCCTGGGCTCAGGCGACCCTTCTGCTTCCCTCAGCCACCCGAGTGGCTGGGACTACAGGCGTGGGCCACCATGTCTGGGTAATTTTTTGATTTTTTTTTCTGTAGAGATGAAGTCTCACTATGTTGCCAGGCTTGTCATGAACTCCTGGGCTCAAGCAATGCTCCCACCTTGGCTTCCTAAAGTGCTGGGATTTATGGTTGTGAGCCACCGCACCCCACCTAGCCTGGTTTTTTATATAACGTTGACACTTATTGATATATGCTGTTGTGTGTGTCCCTCCTTACGGTTGGGTGGATCAGATAACACACAGTTCATTCTAGACACTGCAGGTCACCTAGTCACTTGGGGTACCATAATCAGGCATTCAGTCTCTAACAGGGCATATCCTTGCCCCAAATAACTGGAGGTCTGTGATTATTAATATTTTTATTGAAGCTTGCTAGAGACTTCATGTCACATCTTTAATAGCTACAATTTGAGCTGGGCCCGGTGGCTCAAGCCTGTAAACCAGCACTTTGGGAGGCAGAGGAGAGAGGCTTACCTGAGTCCAGGGGTTTGAGACCAGCTTGGGCAACTTGGCAAGACCTCGTCTCTACAATAAATCAAAAAAATTAGCCAGGCGTGGTGGTGTGCGCCTGTGGTTCCAGCTACTTGGAAGGCTGAGGCAGAAGGATCACCTGAGCCCAGCAGGTTGAGGCTGTGGTGGCCGTGAGCGTGCCACTGCACTCCAGCCTGAGTGACAGAGTGA